GAAACTCTTGGGCGGCTTCCTCGGCCTCATGCTCTGCTTGGCAGAAAATCTGAGGGGGCCCAGCCTCACACAGATTCTGCTTTCAGTGGCCCCCAGGTAAATTGAGTTTGATACCCCTGCTCCAGATGGAATCTTTTTTGGTTATTCAGTTTAAATTAAAAATTTTTTACATTTTCTTAACATTTCTGTGAGTGCATGTTGTTAATCAAGAGAAGGTTGATTTAAGGTTCAAAGACCTTAAAATCCATGCAGGCTTCCGTATGAGATATGTTGCTTTAGATAGCCTGGACCCGACCTGTGTAGGGTTTTATAATCAGCACTTTGAACTGGTCCCAGGAATGAACTAACATTCAATTCTATTGTTGTAACGGGGGATAACAGGTTCCTTTTAACCAGCCTCAGTCAACAGTGTCAAACCTGATGTAGTTTCTGAACAGAGAACCAGGTGGGCAAAGCTGGGAGATATTGCCTCCACCACCACCACCAGATCAGTGCATTTATCCATGATCAAGTCTTATCCTTCACCACCTGGCATTTAGCAGATCTATTAAATCAAAGCACAACACATGACAGCACTAAATCTCCTTTACATTATAACGTTGGCTTAATATGTGATTGTCAGTAACAACTTGTGAAAAAGGCTTTTGAAGATCCTGCACCTCCCTTAAATTGAGATACCTTCGCCACAGATCTATAAGTGGGCTAGAGTTTCCTCCATTAACACAGAATGGAAAGCAATATGTTATTAGATTAGCATATATGATAAAATAGGGTGTGGATGCATGCAAACATTAATTATTCTGGAGTGAGTTTAATAGATTAGACTTTTCCTGGTCTTGAAATTCTAGTATTTAATCCAGTGGTTCTTAACCTTGGGTTACTCAGGTGTTTTTGAACTGCAACTCCCAGAAACCCCAGCCAGCACAGCTGGTGGTGAAGGCTTCTGGGAGTTGCAGTCCAAAAACACCTGAGTAACCCAAGGTTAAGAACCACTGATTTAATCCATGATTTGAAATTCCTTTTTTAAATCATTTTTTGAATCCTGCAAAACCTTTCATGTTATCACATCTAACTTTTAAAATATGTGTTCCCGAGAAGTTGGGAAGTATAATTTATTAGGTTTGGGGCTTCCATTTTGTCTAGAAACATCAAGTTCCAGACAGCTTCTTGTTTTCCACTGGGGCTTTCTTAAATTCTTAAAGCCACACGCATGGACTAAAAGAAAGACACAGGATCACGAAATTAAACCCTTGCTATCTCTGACCCTGAAATAATTTATCCCAATCAAAGGAAACATTTGCATGCAAGAACTGGTGGAACCATCAAGAATAGCTCTGAATGCTTAACTACCACATTGAACTGATGTATGTAGGGCATTATTAGCATGCCATTCTCTGCTGTTCATTGATTATGCGCTTTCTTTACCATCTCCCCTTGATATTTTACAGTGGATTAAACTGAGTACCGTATCATATTTCCAAGGATAGACTGGATCTGCTTCTAAAAGATCTTCCTGGCCAGTTCAGTAGATTCCCCCCCCCCCATTCCACAACTAGCCTCATAGGGTCCCTTTAACCTGTGTGAGGGGATAAGTGGCAGGGAGGCTGCGTACATCTAAGTATGAATCCAATTTAGTGAGCCCAGATACTACAGATAATGGTCTTTCTTTGTGGTTGCAGTTTCCTTGAACAGGATTTTAAGTTATCATCTGACCTTGAGCTGAAACAGGTGTGTTTAGGGATTAGGTCCAAATCTGAATGTGTTCTGTATTATATGTCCAAAGAAAGTACAGACAACAGTTTATTCTGCTGCACAAATTAATAGTACTTGTGGTTAGATAAATCGTATCTCTGGTCACTATGACTAGTTATATGGAGTTATTTTTACTTCCCTCTGCTTGACATTAAACTTTCTTGGTCAACTATGCTATGTCCGTAGGTACTTGGACATGCTGTATGTGTCAAACGGTGTAACTGAGCCATGTTGAGTGAAGAGAAAGTTGATCCTGCATTAAAGACAAGGATTGAAAATTTGTTCTCAGATTTTTCCAGGCTTGTCAAGTTTATAGTCCCTAGTGCTGAACTTTTTTCCTAGGAGAAAACTCCTTAATGGCAGTTCACATCTTTTGCATTACGGAGAACCTCTGGAATAGTCTAAGAAGTTGCCATTGGTGTCTGCCACATGTTGTGATTTGGGTCAAATCCAGACTGAAGGACTAACATTTTCTGTTTTAGTGTCTTTGTAGTAGCTATGATTCAAGAGACTTTCAGATATGAAAAATGTTCTGCCTCCATTCTTTTCTTTGGCATCAGAAGAAGCCATAGAATATGAGACAGTCTAATCTAGCAGACAGAGAAGGGCCATTTAGGGATTGCTGACCATTGATCATATTAACTAGTCAGGTGCAAGTTGGTCTAGAGATTTTGAAGGAAACTAGATTAGGGGAAGCTGGTACAGGGTGATATGACTTGGTGTGGTCATTCATATGGATATGCTGGTACAGGGTGATATGACTTGGTGTGGCCATTCATATGGAACAGTGGATCCTCAACTTACGGAATTACTCCGTATTGGAACTGTGGCCGCAGGTCGAAAATTCCGTAGGTCGAGGCTCCATTTCCCATAGGAATGCATTGAAACCCATTAATCCGTAACTGGCCAGAGAAAAAAATCCGGGGCTTCCAAAGCTGCACCCGCTGCCCTCTGCCTTCTGTCCCCACGGGGACAGGAGGCAGAGGGCACTGGGGACAGGAGACAAGAGGCCAGTGGGTCCAGCTTTCTAAGCCCCAAAAGCCAGCAGCAGGCGCGGATCAGCTTTTGGGCGGATTGGCTTTCGGCTTTCAGAACTTAGAAAGGTGCACCCACTGCTGCCCTCTGGGCACCAGAGACAAGAGGCCAGTGGGTCCAGCTTTCTTAGCCCTGAAATCCCAAACCATGCAGCGGGCACAGAGCAGCGTTTGGCTTTTCCCGCCTCCCCTCACTCTCAGCTTTGGAAGACGAAAGCCACCCTGCACCCGCTGCCAGCTTTGGGCTTTCGGGGCTTAGACCTGCAGCCTACGGACCCGAAGTGGGAGGCGGGGAAAGTGGCAAATTTGAATTTGGCGCTTTCCCCACCTCACCCTTCTGGTCCGTAGGTCGATTCTCCGGCTGCAAGTTGAAGTGAAACTTTGCGGCCAGAGAAGTCTGTAAGTCGAAAAGTAAGTCGAGACTCCACTGTACTTGATTGTTATACACTGAAATAGTGGCAGATGAAAGTGTTAACATAATCCATTGAGATTCTTTGTGTTCTAAAATGATATGAAGATATGTTAGACCTCTGTTTGTAATATCACAGCTTTCATGCAAAGGCAAGACAGTACTTGATGTTGCATCCCAAAGGTAAATGTGCACATGTGAACAGCTCACACTGCCTGTGCATAATCTTGTTTTATTTTCGGATAGCTCTGGATGGTTGTTATCAGAAACACAGGAAGCAGTTTTGCTCTTTATCAGATGGAGTACAGTACACCTGCTAGGAGAGTGTCCTTGCAGGGCAGGTTTTTGGATTTAATCTGTAGGCATTTGACTGTGGTAGCCATGCTGTTGAGATAGATAGATAGACAGACAGACAGTTTTTGTATATCTTTGCATATACAGTATTGGAAACCTTAGAATACTGGCATGATCATAAGATTTCCATGAGCAGAAATTATATTTACTTATTGCCTCTGGTGGCAGAAGCAAGAAGATTGTGATTCTTGCTGATTCCCTCCTTCTCAGTGTGCCCCCAAGTTATCTTCTCCACTTTGAAACTATGTGGAATGTAGAGCGTTCTGGGAGAAGCAAAATTCTGGCCTCTTTTCTCCTTCTATAAGTACCTATAAACCTCCCATGGATTCAGGATCTTTGCCAAGGTGTTTATTTAAAAAGCAAAAATTATAAAAGCAATGGCAAACAGATGTCCTACATGGAGGAGATAGGTCAGATTTGTTTTTGTTTCATGTACATTATGTAACAGATGCCTCTGGCCTCCAAAAGCAGAGATTTCTATTGACAGAGGGTTCTTTTTTTAAAAAAAAGCAGCAAAGCAGAACAAAAACGTTTTAAAGCCACAGGTTATGTTACATTGCAACACTCTTAGGAAGCAGTTTATATGTCATGGGCAGATGACAACCTACCTAAAAACACTGTACCAGGTCTAACAGTAAGGTATACTTTTTCCTGTACTAAATTATTTAAGGATGCGATGAACTATGCAAGCTGGTTTTCAAAAAAGAATTTCGGCACCTTGTATAATAAGTCACACATGAACTTGTTTCATGAGGAAACCAAAACATATTTTCATGATTTAGTCAGCCCAATGAATATACCATTCAGAAAAGTCATGTCGGTGCTTGCAGTATTTCTGCTAAAGCATGCAGAAATCTTGCAGAACCTTGTTGACCTAATTAAGAATACAAACATAAAGTTTGGTTTTCTTTTTTATCAGCAACCGTGCATGCCTTTTCCTTAAAACGATTAAATTGAATTCTGCACGATCCCTAGCTCTTAAGCCAAGTTATAACTTCAACAGCAACAGTCTTTTTTCCTTTTTTTAAAAAAAAAAATCTAAATTGAGTTTTGTGTCTAAAATAGTGCGTAGCATCCATTTTCCAGATTGATAGGATGAGTGTTCCTTTGTTGTCCAAATGGATCAGCATGCTTCATTCAGCAAAAAGAGTTTTTATTCAGTAAGGGTGACTATTGGCCAATGAACGTTAACTGCTGCTTCTTTCTCATCAGCAACTGTGTTCCTAATCAGAACAGTAATGTAAGTCAACCTCTTTTGTTCAAAATTGTCATGCAAGAAGGCCTATAGGGTTACGTTGCTATGACAGCTGCCGCACACTGTATGAATGAACTAGTTTTTGAGTGGCTAAAACGCAGCCCCCTTTTTCCTAAGGCTAGTAATTGCCTTTGGGATTCTGAGATAGTAGTAACCCACTGCCATTCTTTTGTGGGGGGGTTTCTTCTTTTTTAAGTGATGAAAATGCTAGAAAAGATCTGAAGAACTTGCCTGCTTTTCCTACCAAGACTCTGAAGGAACATCCCTCGATTGCTTATTGGTAAGACCCATCTATTTAACTTGTTTATCCTGTTTGAAGCCTGCCTTTTCTTCAGGTCACTGTTCAGATTTCTCCCTCTCTGCTCAATTTATTCTGCGAAGTCATTTAGGTCAGACAGTGAGTTGCTCAAGATCAACCAGTGACCTTTGCAGGTGAGCAGGGCTTTGAGCCAAGGTCTTTCTGCCTGATCCAGGATTCTATAGAATGTATTGCTCCGTCCTCCACACCCAGATAATATACACATAAATATTTTTATGAGACTTTAATTTTCCTTCCAGGCTGTAGAATTTTGGAACACTGCTGAACAAATCGTATAGGTTGTGTTTAACCTTAGTTCTGGATGTAAGAGAGTTGGAAGCCTATTTGAACCCAGGTCTAGGATTTAAAGGTTATTTATGACAAGCTGTAGCTCAGCTTGTGAAAAATATTGATTCTAGCAGTCTTTCTCCAGGAGAGACCTGCTCCGTAGTTATACAAAGTGTGCTGCTTAGTGCACCCTTTGGACAGTTTACAAGTTAATTCAATTATGCATGCTACACGCTGCCACTGCCACCAGCAAGTTGGGTATTCAATTTACAGATCTTGGAAGGATAGACAACTGAGTCAACCCTGAGCCAGCTACATCAGTCCATAGGGATCAAACTCAGAGCAGTTTAAACACTGCTCACCTATGAGTAAAACCCTTTTAATCCTATTGCTTCTGACTGGACATGCCTAGGTATTGCACTGTCTCTCAGGTAAAGCTAGAGGGTCTGGGAAAATTCAGAGACCATTCTCTAGTAAACAGTTTGTGAATGTTAGCCTAGATATTCAGTTATAATCCTGAACAAATACAAGTACCTTATCCAGACATGGTGTGCATACACTGCACAGCTCTTCCCAAGCTTTCTTAATGCACTATTTGTCTTGACTTCCTAGCAGGGAGAAAACAGACAAAGGAAAAACAAGCAACGGTGTTATGGTAAAATAGAATGCCTTTTTTATGTAACAGCCATGTCATGTTGATAGTGAAGGTTGACCCAAACATTTTGTTGCCTGAACAAGCTAGTGATGTAATATATTTCATGTACAGGAACTGTTTGGATGAACGTCAGAGTCTTATTGCAGCATGCAATAAAATAAAATAGTAAAATAATGTGTTCTTGGCCAGGTCATGTAGTGCTCTTTCCTCCATCAGAGTAGAATAGCTGAAAAGTTGCTACTGCCATCTTTGAGAGCTGCCAACTGAGGAGGTGGCCCTCCATCAGCCAGACTGGTACTTCCGGAAATAGAAACTCTTCTTAATGTGTCCATGTCTCAGTGTAAAACTTGTGGTGATACTGCAAAAAATTCACAGACCACAGCTATTTGGGTTTATTCAATGGATTACTTGAAATTAAGCAGTTCATCTTCTCCTAATGGACTGTTCTGTTTGTTCCACAGTGAGGACAGAGTTATTGAACATTACATAAAAAATAAGGGGCTGACCAGAGGACAAGCAATTGTTCGGTAAGTCTTTCCTTTGGCTTTTTCTGGGGAAAGGGGAGAATCCAGCAGGGCTTAATCTATTCTATTAAAAAGGTGCTTGATTAATCCATGATTATGAGAACTGGAGTTTAATAATACAACCCTGTGAACTTTCATTTCCCAGAATGTCCCAACCAGCATGTCTGCTGGACTTGATGGCTTGGGAATTCTGGAAGTGGGGGGGGGGGGACATTTTTCAGGCATAAATTGAAAGGAGGTCTAGTTGCCAGTCTTTTGCAAATCTACAGAAATTTGTCAGATTTCTGCAATCCTGCTCTTTCCTCCATCAGAGTAGAATAGCTGAAAAGTTGCTACTGCCATCTTTGAGAGCTGTCAACTGGGGAGGGGGCCCTCCATCAGCCAGACTGGTACTTCCGGAAATAGAAACTCTTCTTAATGTGTCCATGTCTCAGTGTAAAACGTGTGGTGATGCTGCAAAAAATTCACAGACCACAGCTATTTGGGTTTATTCAATGGATTACTTGAAATTAAGCAGTTCATCTTCTCCTAATGGACTGTTCTGTTTGTTCCACAGTGAGGACAGAGTTATTGAACATTACATAAAAAATAAGGGGCTGACCAGAGGACAAGCAATTGTTCGGTAAGTCTTTCCTTTGGCTTTTTCTGGGGAAAGGGGAGAATCCAGCAGGGCTTAATCTATTCTATTAAAAAGGTGCTTGATTAATCCATGATTATGAGAACTGGAGTTTAATAATACAACCCTGTGAACTTTCATTTCCCAGAATGTCCCAACCAGCATGTCTGCTGGACTTGATGGCTTGGGAATTCTGGAAGTGGTAGTCCGGGGGGGGGACGTTTTTCAGGCATAAATTGAAAGGAGATCTAGTTGCCAGTCTTTTGCAAATCCACAGAAATTTGTCAGATTTCTGCAATCAAGAAGCTTTTCAGACCATTTCCTAGCATTCCAACACATATGTGACTTCTACCAGTATTTTCATTGTCCTTTATCCTGGGGACTCCAGTGTGTTTGTCAGCTGAAGAATGCCTTTCATAACTTAGAGCGTAACCAGGAACACATCCAGCAACAGAAGCTGTATAAACAACTGGCAAATCCTATGAATGGCTACCTTGCCGGTCAAATCTCATTTCCTGAGCTCATCTCTCTAATGTTCTGTGTACTTTGTACAGATTTCTCTCATATAAACCTGAGGTGAATCAGTTCACAAAGGAAGTGAATTCAGAAGACCAACTGCCCCTTAGCTAAATTGGGGAAAGACTTTAGAACTTTATTGATGGTGATGATGATGATCATGATGATCATGATGATGATTGAGAGGCCATGGGTTACTGCAAATACAGCAGGTAGTAGAGGAGGAAAAATCGGAGGCTGTGAATCACTGCAAATAGAGCAGGTAGTGTATTATAGTATATTAGAACAACCAGCAAAAATCAATAATCTCTAATACATGGGTGCAAAAAGTTCTACAGAGATAGAAGCACTGCTGAACACAGTGCAAATTTTTAGTGAAGATTGTTGATAATTTTGATTATAAAGATATCGAAATGAAATTGGGAATTGACAGATGTGCAGCTTTGTCTATACACCGTGGCAAGGTTTATTTTTCTTCCAGCCAAATTTTCCATTTTGCAGTGCTACGAGTTTTCTGGTTTTTTGCAGCTTGCAACCAAATTCCATGGTTATTATGGTAGCTATGCTATACACGAACTGGTTTGTTTTCTTTAGCGTGTTGGTTGGGACTGTTCTGATGACAACATTGCATCAGTAGATCTTTTACTAGTTTACTTTGTAATTGGCGCAAATTGGGGAGCCTTTGTCTTTCTGTGATCTGGCGTATATTGGTTACTATTTTTTCCTTCGGTGATGTTTGCTGTTCTGTCAACTCATAGTTTCTGGGATGTTCCACAAGTTGTTCCTATTGATGCATTTTATTCCGCTATTGTGTCTACTTCTACCTTTGTCTTTCTGTGTTCTGGCGTATATGGGTTACTATTTTTCCCCTCAGTGATGTTTGCTCTTCTGTCAACTCATAGGGATGTTCCACAAGTGTTCTTATTTATGCATTTTATTCTGCTATTGTGTCTACTTCTACCCTCCATTTGTCTTCCATACGATGGTCAATGTTCTGTGTTGATTTTGGCACCTTTTCTAGTTCTTGCAATTCTTGTTCTGAAAACACTTTACTCCAGATGAAAACCTTCTCTGTCAATTAATTGTTCTTAAGTTATGTCACTACCTGGGTGTTTCCTTTTCCAAATTTCCATCATTCTTTTTTGAAAACCACGGGTTGTTGGGTTTGCCTCGTACTAGTCAGGTATAATCACATCCCTTATGAATACACAGTGGAAGTGAAGAACAGATTTAAGGAAGTAGTGATGGACAGAGTGCCTGGAAAACTATGGATGGAAGCTCATAAGATTATACAGGAGGCAGCAATGAAAACCATCCCAAAGAAAAGGAAATGCAAGAAAGCAAAGTGGCTGTCCAACGAGGCCTTACAAATAACAGAGAAGAGAAGGGAAACAAAATGCAAGGGAGATAGGGAAGGTTACAGAAAATTGAATGCTGACTTCCAAAGAATAGCAAGGAGAGACATGAGGCCTTCTTAAATGAACAATTCAAAGATATAGAGGAAAATAATAGAACGGGAAAAACCAGAGATCTGTTGAAGAAAATTGGAGATATTAAAGGAGCATTTTGTGCAAAGTTGGGCATGATAAAAGGTAGGGACCTAAGGAAAGCAAAAGATATCAAGAAGTGTTGGCAAGAATACACAGAAGAATACACCAGAAAGATCGTGGATGTTCCAGACAACCCAGATGGTGTGGTTGCTGACCCTGAGCCAGATGTCCTGAGGAGTGAAGTCCCAAAGAAGGGCAGTGCCAAGGAATGCTCCAACTACTGTACAGTAGCAAAGATATGCTCAAAATCCTCCAAGGTAGGCTTCAGCGGTATGTGGACTGAAAACTCCCAGAAGTACA